GGACCAGAAGCCTGAGGTCGTTCTTAGCTACAGACAGAAGGCAGCCTGGGCTACATGAGACCTAGCCTCAAAAATGCAACTAAGACAACATACTCAGGTAAGCCTAAGACAGACACACTCACTTCATTTTCTGAAAAACTGATTTTTACATCTTCTACTCTTATATCAAAACCGGAATGGAGAGGATCTCTTGTTCTACAGTCAGAAATACTTAGCCACTGTGGAAAACAGTTCATCGGGCTCTTTCTTACAAAGCTAAACATTTCATAACACTCTCTGACCAGTCAATCCAGCAATTGCTGGAAACCAATGGATCCTTACTCCTCTATCCAAAGGAGGTGACAACATCGCCACACAAAAACCTGCACAGGAGGGGCTAGAGAGATGGCTCTGTGATTAAGAGCACTTGTTCCTCCTCCAGAGGACCGAATAAATGATAACAGATCCATACGACGGGGCATTAGCCAGAGCTAGCATGCCATGAAGAGACAGAGAGAAAACTTTGATGTGTATTACTAAGTGAAAGAAGCCAATCTAGAAAGACTACATCATGTAGGAGGCCAACTCTCTGACATCCTGTGGAAACAGTAACGTTGATCAGTGATCGCCAAGAACTAAGAGGGGAGAATAAATGGGGAGTCAAGGGATTCATAGAATAAGGAAAGTCGTCTATATGCTACCTTGAAGGCAGGCATGGGTCAACATACAATTGTCCAGCAAATAGGGTTCACCAAGAGTGAACTCTAACGTGAACCATGGACTCTCGTGAGTATGGCGTGTCAGTCAGTGAACTGTGGAACACAGGCACTGCTCCAGAGAGGGCTGCTCACATGGACCAGTGGGAACTGATAAGCAAGCGGGGAGGGGATGCATGATGGCAGGGAGTCTGTGAGAAACCTTTGCACCTTCCTCTGAATTTTGTCGTGAGTTAAAAACAACTCTCAGGGCTGGAGAGCTGGCTCAGCGGTTAAGAGCACTGACTGCTCTTCCGGAGGTCCTGAGTTGAATTCCCAGCAACCACATGGTGGCTCACAACCATCTGTAATGGGATCTAATGCCCTGATGACCTCTTCTGGCGTGCAGGGATTCATGCAGATGGAGCATTCATACCAAAAACAAAAAATCATTAAAAAAAAAACTCTCAAAATTTCTTTTTTAGCCTATTTTCGATGACTCAATGTTAGCTCAGATTTCCTTCGGTGTTTTGGATGTCTGATCATCAAACCATCCGAACTAAGGGAATAAACTCTTTCTACTGGAACCAGGCTGAAAGGATAGGAGGATATTGTCTAGAAACCACTTGGTCCCCACAACCACGCTATAAGGTGGATGCCACGGTCATCATCGTTTTACGAGTAAGGAAACTGAGTCAGAGAGCAGCGGAGTCATTTTCTCAGAATCACACAACTAATAACTGGAGGTGCTGGAGTTCAGACAGACTGACTCACCGTCTGTGCTTAGCCACAACCTAATGCCCCGTTGCTGATTACCAGGAGCTCTGCGGCCCCACCCTCCCGCTCGTGAAAAGGGGTGCTAGCTCTAGTCATGATCTCTTCTGCAAAGAAGCCATTCGGCGAGGCATGAACACACCACAACCAGATTCTCAGAAGAAACACAAGGACTCTGGTGACAAAATAAACCTTGTCCATATCCAAGAAAGTGTTTTCCCAGCAAGCGAGGTGGCAGTGGGAAGGTTTGAATCGGATCCCCAGGCTCTACACACATGGTGGGAGGAGAAAACTGACACCTGGAAGTTATCCTGTGACCTTCACATGCATACCGCAGCATGTAGGCACTCTCTCTCTCTCTCTCTCTCTCTCTCTCTCTCTATATATATATATATATATATATATATATATATATATATATATATATTTACATACATAAAAGGTTTTTTGAATAAAATGCTTTTCCAAAATACCCAAGAGATATAAAATACCCATCTTTCCAGTTCTTACATTGTTTTCTATTTATTTTTTGTGTGTGTAGATGTGAGCATGTAGACACAGCATGCCATGCACACATGTGAAGCCAGAGGACAGTTTGCTTCTGTAAGTCCTCTCCTTCCACCATGTGGGTCCTGGAATCAAACTCAAGTCCTCTCCTTCCAGCATGTGGGTCCTGGAATCGAACTCAAGTCCTCAGGCTTGGCATCAAGTAAGACAGCAATGAAAAGCTTCAGGCTGAAGTGAGATGTTAAAACGTCATAAAAGTTAAAGTTCAATTCAGTTCAATTTCTTTGGATGCCAACAACATACAAAGAACGTGACACTTTAGTACCTAGTAGGTTCTTGAGAAATGAAGAAAGATACCATTGCACGTGGCTTTCTGACCATGAGCCTATAACCTGAAGAAGCAAAGACACTGATAGAAGCGACCTGGGGAATTTGCTCAAGTCATCTTCTACTTCCAGAAAACACTAAAGTATATTTATACTCTTAAAGTTTTAGTTCAGAGGGCTAGGGAGATAGTTCAGCAGTTTAGAGCCCTGGCTCTAAAGGACCTGGGTTCAATTCCCAGCACCCACAGGGTGGATCACAGTCATCTGTATCTCCGGTTCCAGGGGACCCAACACCCTCTTCTGACCTCCACCAGAACCAGGCAAGCAAGTGGTGCACAGACATACATGCAGACAAAACATTCATATATACACACAAAAAATAAACTTAAAAAAAAACTTTAGTTTACAAGAAATCTGTGAAGAGACGTAAAGAGACATCCTATGTGTAAACACCAACTGTGTTTCCGGAAGTTAAGCATCGTACAGCCTGCTTTGACGGAGAAGTCTGTGATCTGTGTGGACATGTTATTTCCAGAGCCAGCTCATCTCCAAAATGGTTCTAATAATATATGCTTAACGTATTCTACCAGAGATAAGTTAATGAGTATTTATAAGCTACCTGGAGATAAATAGATTGGCTTAATAATACTTTGCAGTCTCATTAACACTCTTATCTTTAAAAAAAAAATCCAGTCTTACAAACTATTATTCTGCCAACACACTGCTTGGTTCTTTCATGTGTGGGAAACACTGGCAAAAATGTAAAAATTTGGCCAAGCCATAGCAAAATCACTAATAATTCTCTGGATATAATTTAGAAATCTTATAGAACACTGGTACGGTCTGAATTATAGTTTTGTGTTGATTATTTTTAAAGATTTATGCTTTCCAAATGCAGACATTATAGTCTACTGAACAGCTTTTGTGCTGTAGTGACAAACATCTGCTATTTCTCAAAATTCAGTATCTACAACACTGAAAACTCTCACTGAGGAAAGAATTCACGTTTTCAGAACGAAACCTGTTAGCAGTCCACCAATCGGTTTGTACCCATGGTAAGTGACAGCAACCTGGCCCTGTCTGGTGTGTCCACCTTATTATAATAATACAAATAATTAGCATTTACAAAGTGTCTGTGCCCTTCAGACTGTCTTCTAGCCATCCATTATTGGAGCTGCTCATTGAACCCTTTGACTGGCACTGTCGGATGTGATTCTATTCATCTGTTCCTAGAGAAGCGAAGCAGGAAGAGACAGGCTCATTTCCCAAGGGCTCCATGGAAAAGAAGAACGCATCGGTTCCCCAGGACAACCAGTCGCCTGGGTACCACATTGTGGATGTCCTAGGGAGTGATGGAAACAGCCCCCTCTCCCATGTATTTCATTTCCCACTGATCAAAGTGAAACTCTAGTCTCGGAATCACAATGTTTCACATACATAGATGAAAACTAGAGAACCATGATGGGGTGGGGTGGTGCATGCCTGAAATCTCAGCATTTGGGGAGCCAGGCGCAGCAGTGGATAAGACAAGTTCAAGGACAGTTTGTTCTCTAAGTTGAGCTCCAGGCTGACCCAGGCTATATAGTGAGAATCTATCTCAAAATGTATTTTTTAAGGATAAAAAGCAAACAATTTGGAGTCTCAGTAGCCAGTGAATTGATGTTCTGCTCCTAGACCAAATAAACTCTCGCCAGGCTCAGCGGCATGTGTCTGCATACCAGCACTCAGATGGCTGAGAGAGGAAAACTGAAGTTCGAAAGCCTTGGCTACATGAGACCCATTCCAAAAGTTACTATAGAGCTTGGTACTCGTTTTCAGCTTATTACAAACAAGCACAAGGGGCTGGAAAGACTGCTCAGTAAATAAAGTGTTTGTCGTGCAAGTATGACGACATGAGTTCGATCCCAATGAACCGTGCAAAAAAAAAAAAAAAAAAACAGGGTCTTGGATTTCCGCTTACCATCCCGACATGCAGATCCTGGGGCTTCCTGGCCAGCAAGCCTAGCCTACATCACAAGTTACAAACCAATAAGACCCCCCATCTCAAAAAGCAAGCCAGGTAAATGGTAGAACAGCAGCTGAGGTTGTCCTATGGCCGCCCCGCCTGTGAGCATACACATGCACACACACACGTGCATCGGCACGCGCAGACACCCGTGAATATGCATATACGTGCATGTGCAAAAATAGAACAAGTCAAGAATTCTTATTGGCAAGAGATCGCTAAATATGGAGAGCTTCCGTCTCCGTAGGAAGGAGAATGCCCAGTCAAGTCAACTGAGATACTTTGGTGGGTTTCTACCCCACAGGGAGCAAATCTTTCTTTGTTCTTGGTGGGAAGCAGGGTCTCTGCTCTTTTCCAGGGGTCAAAAGGATGTAAACTCTCATCTTGGTAGCACAAATGATGGCTTTCTCGCTGTGATCCACGGGGCTATGATTTAGTCTTACTAAGACTGCAAGCCTATGAATTAGGATCACCGTCCCTGGCACCTTCTTCATATATAAAAAAATATCCTTGGGGCTCTTTGCCACCTACTGGACACTATTAAAAATCACCCAATTATGAAAAATAGCAATTAAAATACGACTAATGTTTTATTACAGATCAGCATAGCTAAGATTGAATCCTATAAAAGCCAGTGGGCTTGTCACCCCGTGGAAGATAGACTTTGACTTTGCACCTCTCTCGGGAAGAAGGTCGCTGGGTTGTCCTGTCGCCATGTCTTTTCGATTTTCTGGGGGTTCCAGGGTCTGTTCTCGAGCTGGGTCTGTCAGGCTGTCCAGGGGAGGGGCAGGCTTTGTGGCTGGGAATGTGTGCGTTGGGCCCGGAGCAGAGAGCAGTTTTTCCTGCACCCTCGGGGGCATCTCTTCTGGAGGAAGCTTTGGCAATGGCAACGAGGTGTCAGGAAGGGCGAACAGCGCTGGTTTCCTTAACAACGAGTCTGGGCTTCTCTCTGGGAATGAGAAGGTGACCATGCAGAACCTCAACGACCGCCTGGCCTCCTACCTGAACCACGTGAGCGCCCTGGAGGAGGCCAACACTGACCTGGAGAAGAAGATCGAGGACTGGTATGAGAAATTTGGGCCTGGCAGTGGTCGTCGACTTGACTATGACTACAGCAAGTATTTCTCAGTCATCGAGGATCTGAAACGACAGGTAAGAACGGCTGAGTCCCATACTGTAGCTGTAGGCATGGCGCGAACACAACTAAAAGCAACGGAACCCTAAAAGGTATTTAGCAGTGGGGTGTGGTGGCACACATCACTAATCATAGCTACTGAGGAGGCTGCGACAGAGGATCACAAGGCTGAGGCTGGCCTGGGAACTTAGAGACTCTATCTCAATTTAAAAGAAAACGCTAGAAATATAGTCGATATAATAGTACAGCTTTTGCCCAGCACGCCTGTGGCTCTCATCATAATCAAGCTCAATTCTTTCATTCATTTCAAATGTACTTACCAATTGTATGGGGTGTGGAATTTGCCCACTCTTTGTTCCCGGAGTTAAGTATGGTATTTAATAATTTTTCAAAGATGTAGAATCAAATAGTCAAAGAGAAATAGCTTCAACGCCAATATAATTGAACCAGGCCTGGAGATAAGGTCCTGAAATCCCAGCCACCCTACCAGGACGAAGCAGAAGGATCACAAGTATGAAGCTAGCCTGGGTAATTTAATGAGATCCTATCTCAAAATCAAAACTAAAACGAGAGCTGGGGATACAGCCAGTATCCCAGTTCAGTAGCAGAGTGTTCGCCTAGTATGTAGAGCCACAAGGAGGCTGCATTAATTTTTTTTGTTTTTGATATTTAATTCATACTTTTCAATGAGTAACAATGAAATTATCTGTGGATCTCCTTATTATCTGAATTTTATTCATGGTTTTTGTTGGTGGTGTTGTCTAATACGCTAGGTACGAGCTCTACCACTTTGAGTGTCCAAAGAAAGACGCCAACATAGATACCTGAGACAGATTCACACTGATGCTGGAATGTCCTTTGATCTGTCCCATTCAGATTGCTTCTATGACCTCCTGTAATGCCAACCTTATTCTTCAGAATGACAACGCCAGGCTCACAGCTGATGACTTCAGGATGAAGTAGGTGAAAAGTGGAGATTGTTATTAATAGCGGCTAAAGGACGACAGTCGCACTAGAGAGTGTATCTTTTGCTTTAAAAGCCTGTTTTTTATGTTTTATTTTATGTATATGGGTGCTTTGCATGTATGTCTGTGCATGACTTGTGTACCTGGTACCTTTGGAGGCCAGAAGGGAGCATCGGATCCACTGAAATCAGAGTTACAGACAGTTGTTAGCCGGCATGTGGGTGCTGGGAACCAGATGTGGGTCCTCTGGAAAAGCAGTCAGTGCTCTCAACCACTGAGCCATCTGATGGGGGGAGAGTCTTCTGTTTTGTGTTAATTTTATTGGTTAAATAAAGAGACTGCCTTGGCCCTTTAATAGGACATAAAATTAGGTAGGCGGAGTAAACAGAACAGAATGCTGGGAGAAAGAAGCTGAGTCGGGGAGTCGCCATGGTTCTCCCACTCCAGACAGACGCAGGTTAAGATCTTTCCTGGTAAGCACACCTCGTGGTGCTACATAGATTATTAAAAATGGGTTAAGAGGCTAAAACTAATGGGCCAGACAGTGTTTAAAAAAATACAGTTTCGGCCAGGCGGTGGTGGCGCACACCTTTAATCCCAGCACTTGGGAGGCAGAGGCAGGCGGATCTCTGTGAGTTCGAGACCAGCCTGGTCTACAAGAGCTAGTTCCAGGACAGGCTCCAAAACCACAGTGAAACCTTGTCTCGAAAAACTAAAAAAAAAAAAAGAAGTAACACCTCTAAAATTAAGCTACGGAGAAACCCTGTCTCGAAAAATCAAAAAAAAAAAAAACAATAAAATAATGTATTTTTAGGGGCTGGGATGTGGATAAAGGGTTTGTCACAAAAGCCTAAGTTCACACCCCCAGCAGCCACATAAAAAGAAGGGAATAGCAACATGCATGTGTAACTCCAGTGTTCGTACAGTGGAGACAGGAGGGGCTTGACGGTCAGTCAGTCTGGACAAACTGGTGAGCTCCAGATTCACTGAGAGATCCTGTCTCACAAAAGAAGGTGGCAAGTTATTAAGAAAGACACCGATATTGACCTCTGACCTCCATATGCACACGCATGTGCAAACACATTCACACAAAAATTAATTGTACTTATAAACTAATAGGTATCTCAAACTATCTTAATAGTTTGACATGGCACAAAGCCTCAGAAATACACACAGAATCAGAATACCTACCCCTCGGCATACCAAGTGTCTTTACACGTTATACCCACTGGTCATCACAATCCTAAAACACCTTCACACCCTTCAAGGTATGAAAATGAGCTTGCTCTACACCAGAGTGTTGAGGCCGACACCAACGGTCTTCGCAGAGTGTTGGACGAGCTGACGCTTTCTACGACCGACTTGGAAATCCAGTGTGAGGCTCTGAGCGAGGAGCTGACATGCCTCCAAAAGAACCACGAGGAGGTAAGGAAGCCTGCAGAACAGCCTCACACACCGCTTCCTTCTCCACGCCCACTATCCGTTCCATACCAGGGTGTGGCTGTCAATCAAAATCCTCCCCTGGGTATTAATGATTACCTCTTTCCAGGAAATGGGCGTCCTGCAAAACGCATCAGGGGGGACCATCAATGTGGAGATGAACGCGGCCCCCGGCGTGGATCTAACCGCCATGTTGAACAACATGAGGGCTGAATACGAAGATCTGGCTGAGCAGAACCGCAAAGATGCAGAGGCCTGCTTTAAAGAGAAGGTATCTCCGCGGCCGGGATACGGAAGGGGCCCTTTGGGGAATCAGTCGAGCGGGTTACTAACCCTTGTGTCCATTCCTCTTCAGAGCGCGACGCTGCAGCGACAGATTTCAGATGATGCAGGAGCAGCCACGGCGGCCAGAAACGAGCTGATGGAGCTGAAACGCAACCTGCAAACTCTGGAAATAGAACTCCAGTCCATCTCAGCGATAGTACGTAGGAAGGGAACGGGGGCTGTCCGTCTCCCGGCTTTCTACTGCCTCAGCAAAACACCCCAAGCAGGGTATTGTGTTAAAAAGGGGGGGGGGGGGTATGTTTGTTTACTTACAATTTTGGAAGCTGCAAATCTAGGTAGCATGACCCCAACTGTGGCAAGGCCCTCCTTGGCTACATCACATCATGGCGAGTGGCATCATTACAAAAGTTTGAGCATAAGACACGAAGCTAGAACTGTTTTTAAAATAACTCTCTCCGGAGAACTAACTAGTGTCTGACTAGAACCAAATCAGCTTACTCCAAGAGTAGAGCCCTTAGTGATTCACCACCACCACCACCACCACCTCCCCCGCTAGCCCCACCTCTTAAAGGTCCCTACATAGCTTAATATCACCATACTGGGACCAAGTCTCGGATACATAAATTCTTGAGGGGACATACTCAAACCACATCCAAAACCTAACATCGTGTGTGCATAGGTAAGTCAATGCATATGTACAGTGGATATTTTTAATATTTTATTTGGTGTCTATGAGAGTTTTGCCTGCATGTATGTATGCATATTGTGTATGGGCCTGGTGCCTGTGGGCTCAGAAGAGGATGTCAGATCCCCTGGAGCTGGAGTTACAGATGGTTGAGAGCCACCATGAAGGTGCTGGGAACCCAGGTCCTCCGCAAGAGCAACAAGTATTCTTAACTGCGGAGCCATTTCTCCAGCCCCTCTAAAACGAATGTTTAAAACATTAAATGTAATGTATATAAATGACTAGAATATGCTATATTAAGTAATATGAATCCCATAATTAAATGACTATAATATATTAAGTGACAGGAGTTGCATCCACGAACATTACTTCTGACACACCAATCCCAAATGTCAACGTTCTTTTCTCCACGAATCCCGCCGGTTTTGACTTTCGGCTGAAAACACGTGCACCTCGTACACATGCGGACATGTCGCCCTCTCCAGCACATCACATCACTCTGCTGTTCTTTCAGAAACAGTCCTACGAGAGTTCCTTGGCCGAGACCGAAGGGAATTACTACGCTCAACTCCAGCAAATCCAGGAGCAGATCAGGGGGCGGGAGGAGCAGCTGCAGCAGATCCGAACCGAGACAGAGGGGCAGAAGCTGGAGCATGAGCAGCTGCTGGGCATCAAAACGTGTTTAGAGAAGGAGATTGGCATGTACTGCAACTTACTGGATGGAGAGGAACGGTGAGTGCTGACGTGCAAAACAACCAAGTGCAAAGTAGGCTTTTTCATGCAATTACTGTACAAGTCACATATTGTCTAAGTATATTACGTGCTTAATACAAAAGTATAGCATATATTACACATTTATGTTCTGCTTATTTTATGATATATAGCATATTGCATCCCATAACTTCTTAAAATCGTGTGTGTGTGTGTGTGTGCAATATTGCATTCAATGAAACAAAAGCAGACAGAAATTTGAAATTAGAACTTACGGGGTTCTTTGGCTTGAGTGTTGTGGTTGTTGTTGGTGGTGACTTTTAGGGACAGAGTCTCATTACGTAGTCCAGACCCTGAACTCTGTGATCTTCCTGCCTCAGCCTCCTGAGTACTAGGATTACAGGTATGGGCCACACACATAGCCTAGAAATCAACAATCTAAGTATGAAAGCCATTTGCATGCATAAGTATATGAAGAACAATTAAATATAAAATCCTTCGTCATCCCAGTACTCTGGTCCAAGGAAAAATTGGCTTTTTTTATGCTTGTGTTTAAATACATTTTTTCATAACTCAGTCTGTTGTGTTACTTCCCTAGTGACACACACACACACACACACACACACACACACACACACATTCTGTCCTAGTTCAGAATGATTAAGAAGATTTCACTGCATTGGTGGTATGGTGGTGAGCACATTACCTCCTGAGATGGCACAGAGAGAAATCAGAGTTTGTTAGCCAAGACCCCAAAAGCCCCAGAATCGCATCCTGGGTGTGGATCACATCCTGGGTGAATCTGAACACATGGTTAAACCCCTTGGAAGCACAGTTACCTCCCTGGTAAAGCTGGAAATACAGCGAAACCGCTGTTCTCGGCGGCAGCACCTCACCGTGAAGCTGACTCTCAAAACCTACGTGGTATCAGCGGCTGCTACTAAATGGCATTTCACCCTGGATAAGCTGCCTTCTTTGCAGTCTCTGAGGTCGGGGTGAGGGGGCCTTTTCAGACTAGTCTTGTTTGTTTTTGTTGTTGTTGATGATGTTGGCTTTTGTGTTTAATATATCCCAACCTCAGTTTCCCCTCCCTCTCCACTGCTTCCAGTACCCTGGTAACTTCCCTCTCCCAAAGATCCACTCCTCCTCGTCGTCTTCCTCCTCCTCCATTTCCCTTCAGAAAAGAGCAGGCCTCTCAGAGATGTCCACCAAACACAGCATAGCAAGATATAATGAGCCGGGCGGTGGTGGCGCACGCCTTTAATCCCAGCACTCGGGAGGCAGAGGCAGGCGGATCTCTGTGAGTTCGAGACCAGCCTGGTCTACAAGAGCTAGTTCCAGGACAGGCTCCAAAACCACAGAGAAACCCTGTCTCGAAAAACCAAAAAAAAAAAAGATATAATGAGACGAAGCACAAGCCCTCACATCAGGGCTGGGCAAGGCAACCCAGTAGGCGTTGGTAGCATAGCAGTTGACAGCTCCCTCTTCAGTGTTCGGAAGCCATTCAGTCTTCACTTAACTTACAGTACCTTTTAGGCAATGTTAAAAACATAACTTTTTTGCCGGGCAGTGGTGGCGCACATCTTTAATCCCAGCCCTTGGGAGGCAGAGGCAGGCGGATCTCTGTGAGTTCGAGACCAGCCTGGTCTACAAGAGCTAGTTCCAGGACAGGCTCCAAAACCACAGAGAAACCCTGTCTCGAAAAACCAAAAAAAAAAAAGATATAATGAGACGAAGCACAAGCCCTCACATCAGGGCTGGGCAAGGCAACCCAGTAGGCGTTGGTAGCATAGCAGTTGACAGCTCCCTCTTCAGTGTTCGGAAGCCATTCAGTCTTCACTTAACTTACAGTACCTTTTAGGCAATGTTAAAAACATAACTTTTTTGCCGGGCAGTGGTGGCGCACATCTTTAATCCCAGCCCTTGGGAGGCAGAGGCAGGCAGATATCTGAGTTTGAGGCCAGCCTGGTCTAAAAAGTGAGTCACAGGACAGGTAGAGCTACACAAAGAAACCCTGTCTTGAAAAATAAAAAAAAAAAAAAACTTTTTACATGAAATTGTTGTCTTTCTAACATTAAATACTACTACTCTGTTTTTTAGATGTCTATTTTCTTTTTTTTCTTTTTTCTTTTTTTTTTTTGTTTGTTTTGGTTTGGTTTTTGGTTTTTCAAGACAGGGTTTCTCTGTGTAACAGATCCCTGGTTTTCCTGGTTCTAGCTCTGTAGACCAGGCTGGCCTCAAACTCACAGAGCTCCTTCTGCCTCTGCCTCCCAAATGCTGGAGTTAAAGGCATGCACCACCATGCCTGACTAGATCTCTGTTTTCTACAGTCCCTGGTCCAGCTCCTTCTACAAGAGGGCACTGAACTACTGAGTGCTGCCCCTGTTTTTGGATGGAAAAGAGTCTGGCCATAAGCAGCCATTTAATTTCTTTTCACGATGCTGAAGTCGCAAACAGCTTATTAATATCCCTTTAAAACAGAACAATTTAAAACTTACTGACACTAGAACTCCAAAATTATTGTTTCTGGGGCTGGAGCGATGACTCAGCCGTTAAAAGCGAGTTTGATTCCCAGCACTCATGTCAAATAGCTCACAATCTCCTGTAACTCCAGATCCAGGGGATCTAATGCCCTCTTCTGGCGTCCACAGGCACCTGCATATATGTGGATAACACACACATGCACATATATAATGGGAGCCAAGTGCAGCTTCTTGGTAGCTGCATAGTTTCAAATAGACTCTGTTTGCTGGCAGCAAGCAATAAATTACTTTTAATTTTAAAAAACAGTTATCTCCAATTCACAATCATTGGAAGAAAAAGACAATAATCTACTCTTCTCTTCACAGAAGAAGTGAGTCCACATGCTACAAAGCAAAGGACAGCAAGCCTGAGAATGAAGTCAATGGTATGGACAGGATTTCAGTTTAATTCTGTCTGGGTACGCGTGTGTGTGTGTGTGTGTGTGTGTGTGTGTGTGTGTGTGTGTGCCTGCTCTCCACCTTGCCCTTTGAAACAGTGTCTCTTGATCGTCTGGAACTTGTCAGTTTGGTCAGGATGGCCGGCCAGTGAGTGCCCCTGTCTCTGCCTCCCCCATGCTGGGATGACAAGCTTGCACACCACCCTGGCTTTTGTACCTGCCTGCTAGGGATTGGACTCATACAGCAAGAGCATCTCTCACAGAGCCATCCCCCCAGCCCTAGGTGAATCTACAGAACCCTCTCAGTGTTATCAAATGAGCTTCTTCTTTGTTAACTAAATTTGCTTTTCAGTTTAGATCTAGTGAATTACCCAGTGAGGTTTTTGTGGCTCTATCTATCTATCTATCTATCTATCTATCTATTTCTTATTTGTCTATTTATTTTTACCTAAAGTTTTGCTTTGTAGCTCAAACTGGCCTGGAACGCATAGTTTTTTGTTTGTTTTGTTTTTATTTTGCCCTTTGCCTATCACATTCTAGGATTACAGATCTGTACCACCATACCCACCTGACAATCCTTAATGTTCATATCTTATATCCCTGTAGAATAGATACAATGAAATTATAAAATCGCTATCATAAAGAATAAGCCCGCCAATATCTTTAGTGCCTAGAATGCATTATTTTTCAGTTTTACTACATAATAAAAGAGCTTCTTTTAAGTTGCTAAGCTAAGGCAAGCTGGTATTTAAAGAAGGCAATCGCCAGGCCTGGCCAAGCAGACCTACAGTCCCAAGTAGCTGGAAGGCTGCAGTAGGAGGTCTGTAAATTCTACCCTTGTCTGGGTCACAGAGTAAGGCAGAAGCCGGTTTGAGCAATTTAATGGAATGCTGTCTCAAAATAAAGCATGAAATGAGGGCTGGGCATACAGGTGAGAAATGGAGCCCTGACCTATATGCTTTGAGTCTCTGAATTCAACCTCTAGTTCTAAAAGGGGAAGAGTGGGGAGAGGGAGGGAGGAAAGAAGGGAGGGAAGAAGAGAGGGAGGGAGGGGAGGGCACTGATTGTTCCAGACCTGATGTTTTAATAGACTGTTTTAATGCATACTTCCTTTGTGCTTTCAAGTACACATTGCAGAAAGAGGGAGAGAGATAGAGACAGAGACAGAGAGACAGACAGAAAAGGAGAGAGAGCAAGAAAGAGAAGAGAGTTCAACCAATCAATATGGATCTTGTTAAACGCTGACTTTAAACATAGCGTTGTATCTCAATTGTCTTCAAACTTACAAAAACCAGTTTTTAAAAACAGACCTGCCATGACTAAGTGCCTTTCCCCTATTAAGATTAGCACTGACATTTCCCTGATTTCATTGTAGACTCAACAGAAGAGACGTTTGTCAGAACGGTGGCTGAGGAGCTAGATCAACTCGGCAGCCTCCTTTCCCTGAGAGTGCACTCGGTAGAAGAAAAATCTTCTAAAATCAGCAACATTACCATGGAGCAGCGGGTGCCTTCCAAAGCCCTGTAGTGACTGAAAGATTGTTCTTAAAACAAAAGGCTGTCTCTGCAAAATTCCAGTGGTCAAGTAACATAAGAAAATGATCTGTGCCTGTTCTTAAAACTCCTCAGAGAACTAGACTCGGGTTTCCTTTCCCCACTTCTCCCACTGTCATAGGTAATACAGACGGAGGTGCCCGGACCCTTCTTGGACAGAGAAAAGAAATCTATGGAAAGCCATTATGAAGCCAATATGAAGCAGAGTTGGGGTTTACTAAAAGACATTTTTAACTTGGATCTGAAACTCGGGTCCAAAGAGAGGTGTTCAGAGAAGAATGAGGTGTACCCTAGCATGGGCTTGGGCTTTTTTTTTTTTTTTTTCGGTTTTTAAGACAGGGTTTCTCTGTGCTAACAGCTCTGGAACTTTATTGACCAGGCTGGCCTCGAACTCACGGAGATCTGCCTGCCTCTGCCTCCCCTCCAAAGTGCTGGGATTAAAGGCATGTGCCGTCACCGCCCGGCAAACACTTAGGCGTCTCTATCACAGGTACGTGTAGGAGTTTGCTGCTTCTCAAGTTATCTCTGATCCACAGGTTACAGGAAACGCCCCTCTGGTTTCTTTAACATTGCTCAAAGGGCACAGCTGACACGGTTAAAAGTTAGAAGAATTTCCTTCTGTAAGGAAGGGTAGAAGACGGATCGATGGGGCTGTTGTTTAGATTGAGGCGTGAGAAGGGGTTGGAGGTTCTAAGTACGTACAGTTCAGCTAGACAAGGTGTCTTTGGGGAAAGTCATGCTGTCTCTCGGGCCATTTGGGCTTCAACAGGGATTTCTGAAGTTTCTGACCTTTCTCAGGAGAAAAGGCAGGTCATACTCTAAGCCTTTCCTTCCATGTCACCATAATGTTCCTATCTGTCAAACCTGCCCCAATACTGTTGTAAGCCTTTCCAGGAAACGAGACAATCTTGGTAGTTTTTGTTTTTATTCTGTGAACCTTTAGCCATCTCATGAACAGTTCTATTGCAAATTTTGTTTGTTTGTTGGTTTGTCTGTTGTTGGTTATTTGTTTGTTTTTCACAGAGACAGGGTTTCCCAGTGTAGCTCTGTCCTGGAACCCACTCTGTAGATAAGGCTGGCCTTGAACTCACAGAGATCCGCCTGCTTCTGCCTCCCTGAATGCTGGAATAAAAGGCATGCACCACCACCTCCTGAAACAAATTATTTTTATATATCTGCTTTTTTATAATTTCCACCGCTGCTTCCCACACGACTAGACCAAGGGTGAACTAAGGTCACATTTGCCTCATGGTCACATTTGCCTCAATAAACGCCAACAGCAGGAAGGACACCAGCCCTAACCTCGGATCCCAAATCCCAGTTAACTGTGCAGTGACCTATTTGGCCTTATAGGGGTGCAGAAGTTAATCCATCCTTTGATCATTAGGGTCTGTTCACTCTTCTGATGCTTAGACGAATGATCCAGGAACGTTCTCAAATGTGAACCTAGCTAGCTCTTTTTCCACTTTGTAATATGTGTATCTTTTCCCCCAACCCCATGGTGATAACTAAGCAAGCCTAGAACTGCCCCCACTCAAGCAGGACAGGGCTTCTAAATCTTACTGACATCCTCTGAGTACAAAACCATGCCTGACCCTGTGCGGTAGACAACCATTAGCAAAGAAACCCACAACTCATCAAAGGGCAGAGAATAAACGCTCGGGCCACGCAGTCCTCAGTCATAAATGGAATATCTATAGCACACCCCCTCCCTCGAAGCTCCAAAAAAGGGGAAAGACTCTAAGAGCCAAAGCCATGGAGGACAAGATTGAAACCATGTCTTGTGGACATGACAGGGTCACAGCACTCATGAGCTCTTGGCCGCTGTGGTTGCCCACACAAGATGAACACAACGTCGGGCCAATCAACAAACACGAATAAAACAGGAAGGGGCTCATAAGCCCCACCCCTAGCTGAGGTGCTACTGACAGTTGATGGCTTCCAGGAGCAGGAGAGTCAGTTTTCTTTGGGTGGCGTGACCCCTATTAGGTAGATCATTCTCCAGGGGGTGGCTCCACACACATGTGTGTATGAGAAGCACAAATTGGACAGAGTAGAGGGGTTATAAAAATGGGAGGGACGTGAAGTTGGGAGGGGGCTGGAGCATGGATCTGGGAGGAGTTATGGGAAGAATAGGGGGTGAATATGATCAAAATACAGCGAGTACATAAATTCCCAAAGAATTAAAAGCAATGAAAACAATATAATAAAAAATAGTGTGCCTGAAAATCTGACACAACCTTCTTCTTGGGAAGTGCAGCCAGGGTTGAAAAATCACTAGAACATTTAGTTTAAAAAGTTTTTCCACTGCGGCCAAATAAGGCAGGCAGCAAAGCAATGACCTGGTTCTCCAACACGCATGGCTGGCATCGCTGAAGGCCTTCAACGAACTGGGGTATAGACAACATGGAACTCAAAACATAAGCGCTCACTCTTCTGGAGGTGCATCTCTGTCTTGACCACTGTTTCTTCCAACTCCCATACAGTGTAGTTGACTATGACCCAGAAACAATTGCTAAAGACGCTGACATAGCTTGAAGGGGATGAACCTACAAATCCAAGATGTTGACATAGCTGACTGTTCCCTTGGCAGGGTCTGTTGTCATGAATGTCCCCAGCTGTGATGCCCCAAGCTATCATTTCAAGGTGTGAGTTGGATTAAGTCAGGTTAGAAGTGCTCCTAAGTGCAAACTATAGTGGCAAAAGCTCATATTTATCGAGTGTGCTTAAACAGACTTTAAATGCATTTGCTACACACAACGCCTGTCTGTGCTCTATGCGCTACCGTACAGTTCGCGAGCTTTAGGCGAGGGGCTGGAGGTTGAAACATACAGAGGCACACAGACAGAGACAGGGACCTCTAGTCACTGGTAAGAAGCCCTTTATTCAATGGCACCATGGAGGCTTATATACCCAACAGTCAGGTGGGCCAACAGGTGAAAACCTTATCCTCTGATCCTCAAGGCAAGGCAACACGGGCTCGTGAAGCAGAGCTGGTAAACAACCTTGACATAGCTTTCAGTAACTCAAATCAGAAGAAAAGTAAGGATCTCTAACAGGAAAAAGCAGCTGGAGGCCTGGACTCTAAATGGTCCCAACATGCATTAGCCAATTTCATCTTCTTTTAAAAAGGTTCCATGTTTTATCTTCAGTTTATATATGAGAGTTTATATATATTATACATGTATATATGTATAATATGTATATATATATTTTTTAATATATATATATATATATTCAAAGAGCTTAAGGAATTTCCCAAAGGCTGCACAGCTGATATACAGTGGGACCTAGATTTAAATGCAAATCTCTTCCTCACCAGGGTGACCAGAGGCATTGCATTTATCTCTAGAGGGGAAGAACTGATAGAATAAGTGTATATTCAAAGAGAATTTGTTCATCATCTCACACAGTACAGTCAGGGTGGTCCAGCTGTGGCAATCTTCACGCTGAAGAGGGTAAAAACTCAGTAGCTACTTAGTCCAAGAGGCTGGATGCCTCAGCAGTCCCAACCTGCTGCCGACAGAGTGCAGGACTCCCGAGGGCCACTGGTCTTCCATTCATGTTGGAAGGCCAAAGGAGCTGGGTTCTGATCTCAGCAAAGGATGATGACAGCAGGAGGAGCAAAAGCTGCAGGAGCAACAAGAGAGATGCACAGGCTAGCAAGAGGCAAAGGAGGCGAGCAGGCAAAACAGCAACAGCTTTCCCCCTCAGACATTCTTATACCTAGGCTACTGCTGGAATGAGCCGGAAGGATTCCCCCTCTCAAGTAATCCTTCCAGGAAATACCCTTGCAGACTCACTCAGAGGCAGGTCTCTTGGTCGACTCCAATTGAGTTGACAAGCCAAGATTAAACATCACAGTCCTGATGTGTAAAATAGAATCAGCATAGGAATTTCACGTTCTGTTTTCTCAGTAAGATTCTTCTGCCCCCAAGGGAGACCACAAACAGGCAGGTTCTTCCATGCAGAGTCACCAATGATCCAACAAAGAGCAGGGCTACTAACAGACTGGGCTACATTCTACCCATTACTCTCTTCTCTGCTAGCTTACCTCCAGGTCCTCCTTAGTACTTCCCTCCCCCTCCCCCACCCAATTAAGTCTGGTTGTTGGACGCCTGCCTACCTAAGGCTACTGTTTTCCTCAATATGTTTCATTAACTCTCATTCTGACTGTTAGGGTCACTTAGAGGCTGGATCCTAGAAACTTGAAGAGTAGAGACACTCTACTCAAAACACATGGCAAACTTACTATTTAGAAATCCCAACCGGGGGGGGGGGGGGGTGCTGGAGAGATGGCTCAGAGGTTAAGAGCACTGACTGTTCTTCCAGAGGTCCTGAGTTCAGTTCCCAGCAACCACATGGTAGCTCATAACCATCTGTAATGAGATCTGGTGCCCTCTTCTGGTGTGTGTGCAGGCATGCAAGCTAAATAAATAAATATTAAAAAAAAAAAAAAAGAAATCCTAACAGGGGACCCTCTTTATGTTATGACTACCAGAAGTCTTATGGTGCTTCCTTATTCACAATAGAGTTCCTTTCTTTTCAAAAATAAGCTAGTTACTACTTTTCTGTGTTCACGTTTTCCTCCTCCTCCTCCTCCTCCTCCTTCTTCTTCTTTCTTTTCAAAAATAAGCTAGTTACTACTTTTCTGTGTTCACGTTTTCCTCCTCCTCCTCCTCCTCCTCCTCCTCCTCTTCCTTCTCCTCCTCCTCTTCCTTCTTCTTCTTCTTCTTTTCTTGGTTCTTGGAGACAAAGTTTCCCTGTGTAACAGTCCTAGCTGTCCTGGAACTAGCTCTTGTAGACCAGACTGGCCTCGAACTCACAGGGATTCACCTGCCTCTGCCTCCTGAGTGCTGGGATTAAAGGTGCCACATTTTCCTTATTAAGCAGATAGACAGGCTTGCCTTCATGATGGATTTCTAAGTAGTTCAGGCCTTTGATGAAAACAACTCCTTATAGAGACAAGGAAGTTTAAGCAGTCTTCCTTGTTTCCAAAAAGTCAATATTTACAATAAATAAATAAATAAAAGTATCTCCAATACAAAAATTTCACTGGACATTCTTTTGCTCTTTTGTAATTTTATTATTTATTCTTTGAGAATTTCATACATACAATTTTGTCATGTTCTTTCCCCAACTCCCTACCTGACTAGACTTTCTTAACAGTGAATTAACAATAACATAATGTTGAATACACAGCAGGCAGATAAGATTAAGGCCATGATGGAACAAAAGACGGGTCTTGTAGGGGCCATGGTAAGACAGACCTTAAGTCCCAGTACTCTGGAGGCAGAGGCAGACAGATCATCATGG